CCCTCTGAGACAGTCTGGCTGAGTAGCCCAGGCAGGCCCTGAACTGGTCACCCGCCTGCCTCAGACTCCCAAACATCTGGGATAAGAGGCCTGGGACACCAGACCCAGTTCCTAAGGGCTTGCTGCTCTTCAGCTAGGATGAGAGATTGTGACCGCGGGCTGCCGCACCAGGCCCGGCTCTTCAGGGTTTGCTCCAAGGATCTGTTACTGGCATTCAGCAGCGTATCATTGACTTATTGAACAATGTCATGTGAGCCATCCCATGAGAATGGGAGGCCCTGGCCATCCGTCACAAGCCTCGTGGCTGTGGAGGGGCCTGTAGCATCACATGCCAGCTTGATCTTCTCATCAACAGAAACTCACAGAGATCATCCCCAAGTCAGCCGTGGGGGAACTGTCCGATGACTCCAGCAACGTGGTGCAGCTCATCAAGAACGCCTACTACGTGAGTCTCCAGCAGAGCTGGGTGGGCTGGCAGAGCCCCCCTGGATCAGCAGATGAGTGGGAGGGTAGAACACCTTGTCAGGTTCGGGGTTCTGCTGGGATCCTCATAGCTTCTGGACAGGCATGGCAGGGAGAAAGAAGGGAAGGTAAGGAGAGATGTGCCAGCCCCTCCCCACGTCTTTGTGTCCTTTGTGGCGTGACTGATCTGTACCAGACCCTGAAACACCAATGGCAGGCCCTTATTACTGAGGCTCTTCCCTGATGGCCAACATGGAATAGTGGGGAATGGATGGCTGGCAAAGGCAGAATGATGCTTCTCATGATGGGGAGACCCCAGAAATCATCACAGTGGCCTTGGGCCTTGTGAAGAGTCCCTTAAGGTAGAGCGCCTCTTGTATGCCAGCCCCCTCCAAGACCCCTTAGCCATCATCCTCCTTCATGATGGGTATTCTGTCCAAGTACACCAGATTTGCTTCCCTCAGAGGCTCAGTGTCCTGGTGAACACCAATGTGCACCAAACACCCACTGCTCAGGGCTCAGACACCATCCAGACTCCAACCAATAATATATATCTACTCCCAGTGACGGGTGTCCCAAACGTTCTGGCCTGCATCCCGGTTGCTGAATGTCTTGAAGGCTGGCAGCACACACTGTGTGCAAGATCCTTCAACACCACCGTTGCCGACCAGAGTGAAAGCCTGGGGCCAGGGTGGAAAATCCTGTTTCCTTCTCTAGCCTTGTGAGCCCTAGATGTCCCAAGCAGGCTCCATGCCTGACCACTGCCCAGTCATGCCTAGTTCTGTCTTTACAGTGGTGACTCTGGTGACGCCATCATTGTCCACTCACTGGATGCCACCTGTTGCCTTCTTCCATCTGTCTCATCTCTCACATCACTTCAGCAATCTACCGTTCCTCCTCTGCTAATCCCGGGGTTCAACAGTGAGGAGATAGTCCTCACAGGGCTCATGGCCTGAGTCTAGGCTGGTCACTTGTCAGTAGCCTCAGAGCACGCCTGTGGTGTCAGCCTGCTGTCCCATTCTGTAACAATCACTGAGCTCCGGCTGATGTCTGTGTCATCGACTGGTGTGCAAGAGGGGTATGAGATGTGAGATGGCCAGAAGTGGGCAGGGATGGCCGGACCTGTCACCCCTGAACATGGCTGCTCTCTACCCACAGAAACTCTCCTCTAGGGTCTTTCTGGACCACAGCACTCTCCCCGAAACCCTGAAAGTCACCTACGACTCCTTCTGCAGTAGCGGAGCATCAAGTATCGACAAATCTCGAGGGGACTGTGATGGTGTGCAGATCGGCATCCCGGTGAGCCTGGCCTGCTGAGAGACCTGGGGTTCCCACATCAGCATGTTGGAGGGACCTGGGGAGATCTTGGTGACCCACTCCCGGTCACAGCTAGGAGAAAAAGGAAGATCACAGGGATAAGCCAGGGAAGAACCCACTAGTGACCAGCAGCCAGATGAGACATTTTTTCCCTTTAAACATCTGTGAAGAGGCCAGATGAGACATCGGGGAAAAGGGAAAGGGTACAGGGAGGGTGCCAGATGTGGTCTCAGTTGCAGGTTCACACCTATCAACGCAATGAACACCTGCAAATCTCTAGAGTGGCCCTGGGTAGACTGATGGGCATGGAATGGTAGCACCCTCTGGGGGCAACTGCTGGACATGCACAGCTGGACAACTATCTGGTTGGGATACCTGAGTGGTTCAGCAAGGGGACAAGAGCAGGGCTATTACCCTGGCCACCCACAGTCCTAAACTGAACCCCACCATTCTCTTATAGGTCACCTTCCAAGTAAAGGTCACAGCTTCAGAGTGCATCCAGGAGCAGTCCTTTGTCATCCGGGCCCTGGGCTTCACTGATACAGTGACTGTGCGGGTCCTTCCCCAGTGCGAATGCCGGTGCCGGGACCAGAGTCAGGAGCAGGGTCTCTGTAGAGGCAAGGGTGCCATGGAGTGTGGCATCTGCAGGTGAGGAGGGTGCAGGTAGCCCATGGCACATCAGTCCATGGGGAAGGTGTCTGTAGATGAGGTGGGCGTGGCCATCCCACAGCATGCCAGCCCGTGAATAGGTGTCTGCAGGTGGGTATGGCCAGCTCATCCGGGAGGTAGATGAGCTGCAAGTACTCCCATATCCTAGTTCTCTGGCCTCAGAGACTCTAAGCAATCAGGCTGGCAGCATGCTGCTAGAGTACCACTCCTGGCAGCCTGGACCCTAAAGCCACCCTGTGAACATACATGCACAGGCCTCAGTTCAGGATGCAATTGGGCTGGGATATTCCGAGGAGAAGGAAGGATGCAGTATGCCCAGCAGAGAGGCTGTAGTTGGTAGCCTGGATGCCAGACATCCTCTCTCAACTGCTTCCCCAGTTTCTGCTCTTTGGGGTGCTCTATCCCACACCTCAGATCACACTGGCTGTATTCCTCCTCCCAGACACTCTATAAACAGTGGTGGTTTTGGTAGCTGCCCCCTGGCCAGTGGTACCTTGCTCTGGTCCTCAGTGTGTCCTAGGTGGCCTCGCTACAAAGCTGAGCTAACTTGGCTGGAGGATTGGACCACCCGTCAGTGAATTCGGCAGCTTCCTCCTGCAGGATGTGTCAGGGTTGGCTACTGACATTCTTGTCTCACTAAGCTATGGATCGCGTCCCCACATCCTTCTGTTCCGTGATGAGGCCATCCGTGCTGCCGTATCCCCACCAGACCTCCTTCCAGGTCTAGGTCGGCAAGGTCAGATACTGGCTTCTTAGGACTGTCCATAAACACAACTCTCAGGAAACTCCCAGATGAGCCTGCCATAGGTGTTCTCCTAGTTAGACTTTCTGTTGCTGTGAGGAGACACCATGACCACGGCGACTCTTATAAAGGAACACATTTAATCAGGGTGGCTTATGGTTTCCGAGGTTTGGTCTGTTATCATTGTGGTAGGATATGGTGGCATGCAGGCAGACATGGCGCTGGAGAAGGAGCTGAGAGTTCTACATCTTGACCCGCAGGCAACAGGAAGGGGTATGTCTCACTGGGTGTGGCTTGAGCATATATGAGACCTCAAAGCCCACCCCCACAGTGACACACTTCCTCCAACAAGGCCACGCCTCCTCCCACAAGGCCACACCTCCTCCCACAAGGCCACACCTCCTCCCACAAGGCCACACCTCCTCCCACAAGGCCACACCTCCTAATGGTGCCACTCCCTTTGGGGGCCATTTCCTTTCAGACCACCACTGGTGCCATGCTTATAGGACAGACACCTGTATGCTCCCAGGGACATCCTTGACTGGGACATGGCATGTGCTCAGGAGACCTTTGGAAGCAGGTGTGGTGTGCCATACATCACAGGTGTTTGGATGAGTTCTGGGCCAGGAAGGACAGGAGGTGTCTCCATCCCAAGGGAGGACCTAAGCACACAAACCCCTCCCCCATCACACCAGGTGTGACCCTGGCTACATCGGGAAGAACTGTGAGTGCCAGACGCAGGGCCGGAGCAGCCAGGAACTGGAAGGGCGCTGCCGGAAGGACAACAGCTCCATCGTGTGTTCAGGGCTGGGGGACTGCATCTGTGGGCAGTGTGTGTGCCACACCAGCGACAGCCCCAACAAAGTGATCTTTGGGCAGTACTGCGAGTGTGATAATTTCAACTGTGAAAGATACAATGGCCAAGTCTGCGGTGGTCCAAGTAAGTGTCAGGGGCCATGGGTAGCCCGGGAGCCTTCTTGTCTGTTTGTACCAGGAGATATTAAGTGGGGCATTGGGGACAGACAGATGGGCAGACTAGCAAGGCTTCCCTGCCCAATCTGTTTCAGCGTGAGGGTCAGCCTTGTCCTGGGAAGGCAATGGAGGTGACCGTCCTGTCCTGATCCAAGAGCTTTTCAGATACCACGTGGGGGTTCCATCTGGCTAAATGGTAGCCGTGTTGCTAGAGGTGCAGGGCAGGAAGGCATTCCTGGTCCCCGTGTTTTTTGCCCAGCTGTCTTTCCCTGGTGTTCGGAAGCCGTATGAGGAAGGATAAGTAGAAGGAGAGGAGGCTATAAGAACAGTCCTCCTTGCAAGGCAATATCAGGCTAGGGCGCAGGATGGCCGGAGGATTGCTCCCTGTCCCTAGCCACCTGCAGGGAAGTGAGCTCCGGTGATCTTGGTTGTTTTCCAGTGAGGGGCTCCTGCGACTGTGGCCAATGCAATTGCAAGCCTGACTACGAGGGCTCCGCCTGCCAGTGCCTGAGGTCCACCGTGGGCTGTCTGAATACCCGGCTGGTGGAGTGCAGCGGCCGGGGCCGCTGTCACTGCAACAGCTGCAAGTGTGACGCAGGCTACCAGCCACCGCTGTGTGAGGACTGTCCTGGCTGCCCCGTGCCCTGCACCCAGCACATGTGAGTGTTCCCACTGCCCATACTGGTCTCACTGCTGGACAACCCGGGAACCCCCAGGGACACAACTGCACCATAGTTCTCAGCAGGATGAGAACTATGTCCCTGCCACCATCTGCCTCCTTGCATGCCTGCAGGAGTCCTGGCTTCACAGAGGGTCTGGACCTATGACCCTTCAGCCCTTGAACCCGGTTTCCATTAACACTGATCTGCCTTCCAGAGCCTCTTAGGAGCACAATTTGCATCCGCCATCACTCACATCATTGCACATAGTCCTGGGAGCTCCCCAGACCCGATACCTGGGACTACCTGGTATGCAGATGCCCATCCTCCTTTCATACCATGCACCAGACACACCTGCATTTCCTGAATCATTCATGCCACCTTGCATATAGCTCTACAGCCTGGTCCAGCCATGCTTTCTCACATACCAGTGTACCCCCCCCACACCTGGACATCCTGACACACCCGTGTATTTTCACATCCACAAACCGTGACACACTAGCGCACCCTTCCACAACCACGCAGCTCTTCACACCTGTGCACCCTGACAGACCTGTGCGCCCTTGTACATCATCATGCCAGTTCACACCTCCTGCCCTCACACCCGCTCCTTCACACCCGCTCCACCCCCATTCCTCTGCAGCCACTGTGCCGAGTGCCTGAAATTCAGTAAGGGCCTTTTTGAGAAGAACTGTAGTGTGGCGTGCGTCAATGTGACGCTGCAGCTCACCCCTTTGAAGAAAACACCCTGCAAGGAGCGGGACTCAGAGGGCTGCTGGATGACCTACACCCTGCAGCAGAAGGACGGGAGAGACTCTTACTACATGTATGTGGAGGACAGCCGAGGTGAGGCTGAGGGGTGCCTGGGACGTAACACGATCTGGCATGGGTTGAACATGGTGACAAGCACTTTGACCATGAGGTCTTTGCAGACCTTTTCAGCAGAGGACTGCAGAGGAGAACATCTCTCTTCTGTGGGGCAAGACAGACCCATCAGCAGGACGAGAGCCATCCAGGATACCTGGGCGGGGCAGCATTGCAAGACAGGCTGGCAGCCATCCGCTTTCCCTGTCCCATGGCTCTCTCTTTCACTCTGCTCTCCTTACCTGGCCCTGCATGAGGAGATGAACAGTAGATGGCATTTCCTGATGGTAACTCCGTATTGGGTATGATGCCATTGTGGTGCCACACTGTCCAGCCAGAGCCTCTCCCATTTGATGGGGGATCCTGGGGGACGGTGTCTACTGCTTCCTCAGAAGCCCCCATGGAAAGCTTCAGGGAAGTGGGGGTGATTCCACCCCCAAGCACTGTCTACTGTTCCTCCACTTGTCTCTGGTCTTTGCCAGGCCCAGTAACACCTGTGAACTTCGAAGATGCTGACCTGGTCTCTAGGTTCACATTTAAGGGAAGGGGGGGCACCTGGCTAGACTCCAGATATACCCAACACAGTGTGAGGCTGCAGCTGTCCGTGAGAGGTTCACCTAGAGAGGAAGATGAGACCATGGGATAAGGGGAAGCAGAGTGTCTGTGGTTGGAGCAGTCAGCACCCCATGATGCCTCGTGGAGTCCTGGAGGCATCCAGGCCTGTTCCTGAACATCCCAGAAACCATGAGAAGTTTCCAGAAAGAAAGCGGTCATACTCAGCTATGGTGTTTTCCTGTAATTGCTAGTTCTTTATTATTATTAATGTGCACATACATGAGTGCATGTGTGCAGATCAGAGGACAGCCCTCAGGCGTTTGTTCACTCGTTTTAATCACAGAATCCAACTCAGGTCACCAAGTCTGCACAGCAAACACCTTTGCCAGCTGATCCATTTCACTGGCCCCCAAACTGTGTTTTTAAAAGTCCAGCTAACAGCTCTCTTGGCGGGTGTGTAAGGTGGGCATTGCCCTGTTGTTGGATAGTGTGGACACTGTCCTGTCAGGAACCAAGTGGTCACAGTCTTGCCTGGGAACAAGGTGGACAGGGTCTTAGGAGGGGCCAGGTAAACCCAGTCCCTTTAGGAACTAGTGAACACGATCTTGTCAGGAGCCGGGCAAAAACAGTTTTATCAGAGGACAGGGCAGATATGGTCTTGTTATTGTATAAGATGGCTGCTGTCGCCGGGCAGTGGTGGCGCACACCTTTAATCCTAGCACTCGGGAGGCAGAGCCAGGCAAATCTCTGTGAGTTCGAGTCCAGCCTGGTCTACAAAGTGAGATCCAGGTCAGGCTCTAAAGCTACACAGAGAAACCCTGTCTCAATAACCAAAAAAAAAAAGATGGCTGCGGTCCTGTCATTGACCAAGTAGTTGCATCGTATCTGGGCTGCAGTGGACACTAACAAAGGAAAAATGCTGCTTGGACCTAACAGAGTGGAGATAAGTGGGCAGGGTGGGCTGTAGTATTGAGAGAGTCTCTCTTTGAAAGAAATGCAGAAGAGCAGAGCTGAGAGAAATAGGTCCTGGGGTCCTGGGATACCCAATAGAGGAAGTAGGAAGTCGGAGGTTGAACAACTTGGAAGTATGTTAAATAACAATGAGGGAAAATGGTGGGCATGATGGATTTGGACAAAAAAGATATGACAGGGTACCTTATAGGCTTAGACAAGGAGCCTTGGGATTTCAGCTACCCACCTCACACAGATCCGGAGAGCTGAGGGGACTGCTGAGGAGGCTACTCAGGTGACCATCGGAAGCTCAGGCCGGGAGCAAACCACGCTCATACAGGACTGAGCTCTGGAGCCCCTGAGTCCAAGCCCCCTCTTCAAGTCAGGACCCCATAAAAGGCAGGTAGGAAGCAGACTCCATAAAGTACCTGGAGCTCAGCACCTCTCCTCCTGGTTGGGGGCTGCTGGCTCCAGCCTGCCGGAGCAAGAGTTCCTCCAGGTTACTGTGATGGGTGTGTTTGGGATTGTGTCAGCCTTGGCTAAGTTATTTAACCTATGTGAAGACAATTGGCCTCCCTGAAACGGCCACGATGTTAGGCGAGATTCTATGACTATGCTGTTGGGGACCCAGCAGAGAGAGGTCCATACTGATCGTACCTCTGCCCCACAGCCAGGGTCTGCTGTGTGGCCTACTGCATCCCAGGGCCCACACCCGGGAGAGGCCAGCTCAGCACTGGACCTTGGGACACTGTCCTGTTCATCACATGGCTACCTCAGCTGCCGAACACAGGCCTCTGGTTCCTGGCACTGGTCACCATAGAATCCCTTCGCCTGGACATGGCAACTCAGACCTTACTACCTGATCCCACTCCCATACTGCACAATGAGATAACCAGGGATGGCTCAAACACAACCCTAGTCTGAATACACCAGCAGGTGGTGACCAGGGATGCTGACATTTCATCCAGGCTTACCTCAGGTTGGCCACTGACCTGGCCTCCCCTTCTCTGTGAACAAGGGCCAGGCCAAAGTGGCCTTTATGTGTCATTTGGAAGCGCAGGGCCTGGTCTCAGTTCTGGTAGGGATGAGGCTAGATTCCATCATCTACTCATGAGACGTGACAAAGAGTGAGCCGGCTTCCTGTGGCAGGTGAAGCTAGGGAACATTGGCCACTGTAGGGAGGGGCTGACGTGTGGTTGTGTGTTTCCTCCTCAGAGTGTGTGGAAGGCCCCAACGTGGCTGCTATCGTAGGGGGCACAGTGGTAAGTGTTGTGCTGATCGGTGTCCTCCTCCTGGTCATCTGGAAGGCCCTGACCCACCTGACTGACCTCAGGGAGTACAGACGCTTTGAGAAGGAGAAGCTCAAGTCTCAGTGGAATAATGTGAGTGGCCTCTCTTGGGGACCCACGCAGCACATGCATGCTTCCTTTCCTCCCTGGCCTCTCACGGGGAGCAACTGGTACACTCTCTATCCCAGCCATGCTTGGGAGACCCACACGGAGTGTCTTCCCCAACCCTGTTACTTCTCACAACAGGACTGTGACTGTCCTGGAGTAAGGACACATCCCTTACCCCAGCAGCTCAGCCTGCAAGCTCCCGGAGTGTGCTGTGGTGTCCAGGCTTAGCTCGAGCCTCAGGGCCTGGGGAGGCTTCCTGTCTTGGTGGGTTCCTCAGAGTGACCTCTACTGATCTGGCGGCTTCCTAAGAGTCCTGACCCACTCCCCGAACTGACAAGAGCATGTTTGGTTCCTCCCTAGGACAACCCCCTCTTCAAGAGTGCTACCACAACTGTCATGAACCCAAAGTTTGCTGAAAGCTAGGGCACAGCTCTCAGGACCAACCAGATGAGACCCCGAGACCTCGCCTCTTCCCCTCTGCAACCATGACGTGGCTTACAGCTCACCACAGTGCTGCCAAGGGCCCACTCTGTCTCTTCCTGCCTTTATGTCAAGGCGGCCAGGTTTCCCACGGACTCATCTTCTGACCCGCCCCATCTTGTCACAGAGCCTTAAGAATGTCCCAAGGTTCCGCACACATTTTCTTGTAAAGGAAGACAGCAGTCTCAGTAAAGGTGGCACCGACTTATTTATATTTAAACTTGCCAGGGTACAAAACTACATCCCATTTTTGTTGTTGTTGTTTTTTGTTTTTCGAGACAGGGTTTCTCTGTGTAGTTTTGGAGCCTGTCCTGGAACTCGCTCTGTAGACCAAACTGGCCTCAAACTCATAAAGATCTGCTTGCCTCTGCCTCCCAAGTGCTGGGATTAAAGGCATACGCTGCCACCACTGCCTGACCTACACCCCATTTATTATATTATTAACATCCCATCCATTGTATTATATATGGGCATAAAACTATATCCCACGTATTATATTGTAATCATGTATGTAAAAATAATAAAGCTTCCATCTATGCTGTCCACAGAAGGTGGGCTTTGTGGGGTCCTCGGGGCAAGGTGGCTGAGCTCCAGGGTGTTTTGTCCCACCTGCCAACTGTTCCTTCACATCCTGAGGGTTCGGGTGGGCTCTGGGCCTTGGAGTGGGAGATCTAGTCTCTTCTTCCCTGCCTGCGAACCTGTATATATGGAGACCCAGTGCTAAATCCTGTGTGGCTGCACCCTCCCCTCTCCAGCTCCCAACTTCCGTCAAGTTCGGTACAGGAGGATAGCAGGGTGGCCAGAACACAAACCAGGGGTTGGCTAAGAAGTTCCTTTCCCGTGAGCTGTTTTGGGGGGCAGTCTGGAAACCACTGCTGACTCATGTTCTAAATGAGTGAATGAAGCCATGTTGTCTTCAGTGATTATCGTGTTCCTGGGTCTCTGAGAGTGATGAGGGAGCATACTAGGTAGTCTTTCTGGAAATAATTGTTTTGCCTTGTGGTCTCAGGTGGTTCCCTTGCTTAGCCCCACCTGCTCAGCAGAGCATCCTGTCATGGGAGTATGCTGTCCACACTGCTCACAAGGCAACCAGGAAGCAGAAAGACAGGACGTGGCCAGTGACTAGCTACCCCAAGGACCGACTACCAAGGACCTATTTCTTCCAGCTAAAGCTCTACCTTCTAAAGTTCTCAGAACCTTCCAAAATAGTGCCACTAGCTAAGCACCAAGACCCCGACACAGGAGCTTTTGTAGTAGAGGGACACTTCATATCCAAAGCATATCACCCAGCCATGTAAATGTTGGGACCTTGTGGTTGTGTGCCCAAGTCTTAGACTAGGAAGGGCGAGATGTGGCCAGAGAACCCCTCGAGGGTTCTCATCTTTAGACAGAGGTACTCACTCTTGTTCAATTCTGCTTATTCACACATGAGTGAAGTGTGCAGGACTGAGTGTCAGACATGTATGTATTTTCTTATATTTTTGGTTGTGAGCCTAGTCTTTAATGGCTGAGTCATCCCTCCAACCCAGCGAAATGTATTTTCAAACGATACTTTGCCCTTATCTTTTCACAAGAATATAATTGTTCCAAGTCCAGAAACTGTTGATGAAACATCCCATTCAGTCAAAAAGCAAATGCTGCATTTCAGGCAGAATGGATGACACAGTGGACCTCCTCTGGCCTCGAGGAGATTCCTCCAATTCAGCCTGGAGAAGCCTGAGTTGCAGATTAATAGAGCCAGCATCAAGGCACAGCTGCTGGACCCCTTGTTCTAGCGCCACCTGCTGGTGGTGCTTTCTGTTATCTACTGTCCCGTTTGCTGCCATGGCCAGAGGACATCCCCTGCCAGTCCCATGGGAACTTCCCTGGCAGTAGCAGTCAGCCTGGACATTTGCTCCAAGAGGCCTTGGAACATTTCCTGGGCAATGACCACTCCTTCGTGAGTTCAACCTCAGCCATCCTCCTCTTTGGGGCTTGATGCCTTGCTTTCCACCATGTTGTGAGTGTGCCTGGGTGGTTGGCCAGTCTTTGCCTCCTCCATTCTACCTGGAGGACCCCACCATTCTGGCCACCTTTGAGCATCACTTCTTGCCTGAGACTCACCCTATGGTTCTGTGTGAATGTTGATGTCTCTCCCTACTTCATGTGTTGGAACTTATTCCAAAGACTATCTGTAGGGCCTTCGAGAGGGAGGAGGACCTCAGCAGGGAATTAGACATGAGGGAACTTATGAGAGACAAGGAGCTGTCTTGCAAGCAGAGCTAATCCTCAGCAGTCATCAAATCTGCTGGTGCCTCGATTTCCAACCTCTAGAATTGTGAGCAATGGGTTTGTATCACAAATAAATTGCCCAGCCTCAGGTATTTTGTTAGAGCAAAAGGAACAGATTGAGATATGCTTTATGTATAAATAAGTGTATTTGAAATAGTCACTGAAGATTAATTTTTACCCTCATTCATGAAGCCATGTCCTTCCACATTCAGGAAAAGAATCTGGCTTTATCTTATTTATGTGAAACATTAAAAGGAAATTGAATAGGGTCTGGAGAGATGGCTCAGCAGTTAAGAATGCCTGTTGCTCTTGCAGAGGACTGGGTTAGGTTCCCAGCATGAACACGGCATAATGGCAGTAGGCTAAGTCATGGGGAGGAGGTTACAAGCAAGGGTGCAGTGGAACCACCAAACCAGACCACTCCATGGGTAGAAAGAAAGGTTTATTGGGGACCAAATCGCCAAGGGTATCTTGGAGGAAGAGGCAGTGTTGTTTTTTTGTTGGCTTAGTGGCCACACCTGAATCTAATGATATTTTAACTACCTTTGACTGGCCCACAGTCAGCACTCGGCTGCTCAGACCATGGCCTGGCCAGATTTCCAGTCCCACGGGCACTGGCTTGGCCCATAGCCACAAAATGTAGGTTTTTAACTAAGTCTCTATTGTTCTATTTACCAATAAAGAACTGGGAGTCAGATGCTGGGGTGAAAACCTGCTAGATCAGAGAAACTGAGAGGCAATCAGGTGGCCTTCTTTTTTTGGCCAGAGACTTGGCAAGAGGAGCCTCTCTCCACTCATCCAAACCAAAAAGACCACAAATCTGTAAGTCCCTCCTGACTCCTTCCTGTGTGTCTCTCTATCCATATTCTTGGCTCCTCCGTCCTTTCTACGGCCCCACCCCATCCAAGGTTAAATTTATTAACACAGTCTCAGAGTTTCACAGTGCCCTCAAATATCCCGCAACAGGGCAGAGAAAAGCAAGCCGGCAGAAAAGCGAGCATATTTTATATGTCCACAGGGTAGGGATTCTCGAGCTGATACAGGCTGTAGAACTGATCATCAGGAACTAGATGAACTTGCCCAATTTAGTTAATCTTTGGGTTGGAGGGGTTGGATTAAAGGAGGTACCTGGTAAACAGACACCCACATCTAGGCTTCTGTTTACCCAGCCAAAGTCCTTCTGTTTAGGACATTGTCATCAGCACCTGCCACTTTGTGGGGGCCACTCTGGACCTAACAGAAGTGAAACTCCAAGAATAGCCCTGGGTCCATGTCCAGCACTGTGTCTTTACTATGTTACCTTGAACAAGTGACATCTTCCATCTTGTTGAAAATAGAGGTACAGAGGGCCAGACAGATGGTTCAGTGGCTGAGGGTACCTGTTGCTCTTCCAGAGGACCAGTACTCACATCAGGAGGCTCACAACACTCCAGCTGCGGTCGGGAAGGAATCTGCCCCCCTCTTCTGACCCCTGCCATCATCCCCACACTCTGCACACATTCACAAAGCCCACACACATATAAAAAATAAAGTCAAAGTCAATATTTAAAAATACTTGGGTGTGGGGATCACTGAAGGACTGGGAGAGATTGGCTGCTCATCTGGGCTGGAAGATTGCTTTTCTGAATTCTGGAGCCTGAAAGGCCCCACATAGCACGAACCAGGTCCCAAACCAGTGGAGCACACACCCTCTCACAGTCCCATCAGGGCCTTCCCGCATTCCAGAGTAACAGGTTCTTCATCCTTGCTTAATCCAACCATGGAAAATGGGCTTTGTCCCCAGGCACTGCCTCTCCCTTGGCCCAGAGCTCTGCTGACCTCTATCTCCCACAGAACCCAGGCCCACCCCTTTGCCATCTCCCCTCCAGGAGTTCAAAGTCCCAACCTCCCAAGCATGCAGATTTGCCCTCTCCCTGTGAAGCACCTGGAGACAAAATGTGCTGTGACCCAGGAAGAAGCTTCTACACTTTTCACACTGTCTGGATGGAATTCTGTGGCTAACTAAGGAATGCCCTCACATTGATGAAAAAACTGGTCACACAGATACTACCAAACAAAACTGAAAATCCCCAGCAGGTGACTCAGGTATCAGAAATTGTGATGTGTGGCTTTGGAACTCCCATAACTACTGGGCTGTGGCACCACGCCGTGGCTCTGGTCTGGGTTGTGAGCGGCTTTTCTGTGACTCTTGGGTGCAACGGACACAGCTGCTCGGACTGATGCCATTCTGTGTCTGCTGAATTCTTTAACCACCTCCTTGGGAAAGCAAGTGCCTGTGACTCCCAGGATCATTGTTTCTCTCAACCACCCTTCCTGGCTTGTGCCTTCTGGACCACGTGCCGTGTGAGTCATTCCTGAGATGGAAGCTCTTGAGCAACTGAAGAGGTAGGTATGTCAGATGTGTGGTCGTTATCAGGTGCCCTTCTCTCTCTTGACGGCCATGTGGCTAAAGCAGGGATATGGGCTGTAGTGTGTGTGTGTGTGTGTGTGTCTGTGTGTGTGCGTTTTGTGTTTCTGCCCACCCTCCCCCAAGTGCTGGCACTTTGCACAACTGGCTTGGTAAGCATGGGTCTGGGGATTTGAACTCAGATCTTCATGCTTGCAGAGCAAGCAGTCTCACCCATTCAGCCATTTCCCTAGCCCTCAGGCTGGGCTTCTTAAAAAACAATTATTTTAAGCTGGGCATGGTGGTGCACGTCTTTAATACTAGCACTCAGGAGGCAGAGGCAGGCAGATCAGTTTGAGGCTAGCCTGATTTTCAGAGTGAATTTTAGGATAGCCAGGCTACATAGAAAAATTCTCTCTAAAAATCACACACACACACACACACACACACACACACACACAATTTAAATTAAAACAAAATGTTGACTTAGTGCTGTGTGCTTTGGTGGGAGGACAAGAGCATGCTTGCTCTAGGCATTTTATACCAGCTCATGACTACCGTTTCTGCAAGTGAGTTTTCAAGCATCTGTGTGCACAAAGATCCCCTGAGGGCTGCTTGTCCGGTAACATGTAGATGCCCCACCTGCAGATGCATACAACTGAAGGATTTTATGCTGCACCAGATGGAAGTGAGACCCGCTTTGTTAAAAGGTTCCCTAGCAAGCCAAGAAGACACCAGTGACCTTGTCCTTGAGCAGATGTGTCAAGCACAGACTTCTTGTGAATGCTGTGCCAGGCACTGAGTGAGCTCGGGTTTGGGACACTGACCCCAGGCTCTAATCATCTAACCCAGAGCACCTGATCCTGTTCTGGTGTTTGCTGTGGCCAC